CTTAAACAACACTTTCTATTTCAAGTCATGTATCAGGACTGGAATGAAAAATGCCTGTCATGAGACGCAYGTTGCCCCTTGCCCCTTCCTGGAGTTTCACACACCCACTGCTGTGTGTAATATTGCCCCAGCGAGCATTGATCCTTTCTGTCCCAAAGCCCGCTGCATTTCAGAAGTGAACTAGCATTATACCCAAACCATTTAAATTATTCCTGCAGTCCTCACAACGTGCTGCATTAATGTAAGAGAYTAGCAGGAATTATTATAGTAGTACTTAGCACTGATGGTACTCAGCATTTTAAAAGCAAGCGTCAATCACATACATGCCAACAGGCTTTTAACTCTTAACATCACTGCCTGCAGTGCTAAAAAAGGACAGTGTTTTGTAACTGCTGGTGGTTTTGCTGATAGTTATGGAAACCAGGACAAGTTGAACAAACCACGACAGCTGTGAATCATAAAATTAGAATACTTGAGGGCATCTAAAACCTATTGCAGAGTTTGTGACTTTCTGCGCAAGGCCCTTGCAAGGCAGGGAAGCTCCTGGAGCTGCTCTCTGGATTAATCCCTGAGGCTCCACCCGGGCACAGAGGCCATGCAGCACTGCAGTGAAGTGCACTCAGCAGCTGGACTACGACACGAGTTCACCCTGAGCGATACAGCCTGCTGAGCCTGCCTGAGCACAGCTGGAGCACAGCTGCCTCCGTTCTGAGGGCTTCACAGTGTGGGACAAGCCACCTAGCACACACTTGTCACCACCTCAAATGCAATACAGCTGTTCCCTCCTTCCTCCACAAACCATTCTGGCTCCTAGCGCTTCTGTCTGCACCTACTGGACTAATACACACAGCCCAGGTGTCCTGTGCACCAAACTTTATCCCACTCCCAAACTCGAGGTACCTCATATTCCTGCTGCAGCTGGGAAGAAAGAGACTTCTGCCAGGAAAGCACATAGATGTTTCTAAATAGCAAGTGTCAGCCGCCCTACCTGTCTGCTGTCCCAGTTAGATACTTTTTAAGACCCTTATAGAAGAGATCATGGAAAGAGCAAGTACCAGGGACAAAATGAGAGCTTAGTGAGCAACTTCCCTATGCAATTCTTCAGCAAACTGGCACAAGGCTTGCTTGGCATACAAGGCACTGCAGGACACTGCTGCTCAGAGGAGATTTCACCAAAGTAATAACGTGTTCCCCGCACTTTAGCTTCTCCAGAATAGTTGTGCACCATCACTAGCAGGCACAGAGCTGCCCGCTTGCACACAGCTGCTCTCTGACATCTGCAAGAAAAGGCASATGTGACACCTCCATCCAGGTCACTCATGACCCCTGTCATCAAGCCTTCCTTCTGTCTCTATCTGCTCCTTTGCAGCTGCTCCTGGGTTGCCATTTTCTTGACATCTTGACCCTTTTTTTTTTTCTAACTACTTCTGGCTGTTGCGAGCTTCTCAAATCAGAAAGTACAGGGAAAGTCTATGGCTCTTACGCATTAAGCATAAGGCAGTCCAGTCTGGAAAGCACAGATAAGCCCGGAAATTCATTTTTAAATTCAAAATTCAAAAGGTTATTCTGCCTTTTGACTTGAGAAGGGACCCTTACATCTTTTGAAGCCTTGGGAATGCTCACTTGTGTGGGAAAGCTGAGACTGGATGGCAGTTAACTGCCAATATTGTCGCTTTGGCAGGGCAGCATCTTTCAGTTCTTGACAGAAGGCGTGAGCAGGAGCCACCAGTGTTGAGAGGGAGAACACCATATAAATACACATAACAAAAATGCCAGATTTAACCAATTAGCAAATGAAGGGGAAAGGCCAATAAAATAATATCTTGGACTGAAAGACACATTCTTCTTGGTGAAGGACCAACAGCAAGTTCAAAATAATTAAAAACTGAGAAGGATTGTGAGTTTACTTTAGCAAAAGACTCTCCAGAGCAGCTCTGAGAAGGATCACATAGTGTTTACAGATGGAGAAGGCTCATAGTCCATAGTCCATACCCTATTTGCTCGACCCCAGGGATCTCCCATTCATTTCCAGGCTTTCGAAATGGTGCATTTGCCACTCCATGAAGAGGGAACAAAAAGTGATACCAGACCTATAGCAAAACCAGGAACCATTCCTTTTTTGAGAGAACACAAAGAAAAGCCTTTTCTCTGGTATTTCTGATCTGAACACTGAATAACTTACACAACAGTCAACCAAGCTGTACCACTAAGCCTGTGAATAGACCTGCCCGGAGCACAGGTCCATATAGCAACACTACTATCCCCAGACATCTTTAGGACTGAAGATGTGTGATGGTGGCAGTTCATTAACAGCCTTCCTTTACTTAAACAGTCCCGTGTTCATCATTTTCATTGGCCTATGATTTCTCTCAGCATGTAATAATGTTAACATTAAGTCTATAAGTTAAAAAAAAGAGAAAATGTTTAAATGACAGACGGAGAACAGTAACTAATGGACATCAGTGATTAACAAGGTAATAAAGCTTTCAGTATGACTAGGAAAGAACAAGACAGAGCAAAACTTATCTCAGTCGATTAGTTACTTTTAACATTATCAAAATTAAATTACAAAAGTAAATATCCAGTACATGAGTAGGGTGCTGGAACTGTCACAGCAGCACAGTGAATTTCACACAAGCTGAAGTAAGAGTCCACAAACTAAGCAGATTCAGATGAGGCAGAATCAAGTGAAGAAACTCAGGGCAGCTGGAAAACCTCCCCGAGATAGGGGTGGGAGGCAAAGCAATGCCTGGTTAATGGAGGATACTCAGGTACCACCAAAACGTATGAGCAGCCATATGAGAATCTAGCCACAGACTAGTTTCTGGAAAAGAAAATAAATAAAAGAAAAAAAGTCCTCATTATTACAAGAACAAATCCTCCCAAAGAATGGCATTCCAGTCACCTGAAACCGCTGAAATAACAGCTTGTAGGAGAAAATGACCAGTCCCAAGTGTAAGCTGTGTGTTGATACAAAAGTTCAGTGATTACATTTTAAGTGTCACCACGAAAAGCTTCAGTGTGGCACACTTCTGAAAACAGCACAAAAAAAAAAAARAGGATGTATTTTGTGTAGCAAAGTGGAGAGAAAAAGGAAYGGAAATCAAGTGAGCATAGAGACCATGCACACAGAGACAAAGGTAGAGATGGAAAAGAAAAAAAAAAGGACATACAGACTATAGCGGCCAAAGGCAACTTGATCCCCACGTGTTGAATAATTAACAGAATGAAACTCAGTTACTCCACTTGATTTYAGCCACCTACCACTATGATCTACCTACCATGTGGAATGGCCACTGATGGAGGGGAAACTGGTCCAAATACAGAACTGAGCCTACTGATAGTTAGAAGAGGAAGCCAGTCCTCTTCTTCACTCCCCTCCTTGTGCAGTAAATTGCAGAAAGACAAGTAAAACCCTCCCTGAGGCCACCTAGTCTCTTAGTACAGTAACATCTCCATCACTCCTCTACAGTTCACCAGGGCTTGTTATTGTTTTGCTGTTTGATGTCCTTGCTACACTGGAAGAAAGCATGAAGAACAGAGGGGGAAAAAAAAAGAGAAATCTAAGAGTCTTTCAACTTCCTAATCATCTTCTTCAAAATGCTCCGTACATCAGCACTGATTTTATTACRTGCCTGCTGCTTGAGATTTTCAAGAAGAGCCCACGAGAAGAAAAGGCTTCAATCTGACCTCACTGAACTGCTGCTGGGGGAGGAATACTACACAGAGCGACAGTTAAAAGCTCCTTTCCTTTCTCAGACTAACCTGAATGCTAGGCAAAAGACTCCACTATACAAGATCCTGTTTAAAATTGCATTACCAAAGGCTTTTCTTTTTTTTTTTTTTAGGGGCCCGAGTTGATGCAATCAGTAAATCATCAGTGAACGAGCTTTTTTAACATGAACCACTACAGAGCGTAACTGTGGGTAGAGTGACCCTCAGGGACAGAACAATACATAAAAATTGAGTCAATTGAACCATTGTTCTTCCACTTGGCTCTACCAAGAAGAGAATAAGAATCACCAGCTGCCATGTTTCTTGTCTGCACTGGTAGACCATTCAAGCTGAGGCTTTGGGGTGTTAGCCACACACTTGATTGCAGATCAAGTACAATAACACATGGAAAGCTTAGTGGTAAGCAAGGGAGGGCCACAAGCAATGAGGGAAGTGAATTGTAGGGGTAGACATAGCCAGGACTTCTTAACAGACAGAAGCATCCTTGAGCAGGCCAAGATGATCCAGGTGCTTGTGCCACTCAGCGTTCCCAATTTCTGCTCTGTAAGGTCCAGAGATGCTCACTCAGCTCTGTCAGAGAGGTCTCCCCTAACATACACGGCAGCTCTGTGTTTTGTCCACTGGCTCCTGCAGAGTCATTCACCTTTYCAAGAGTGATTAACATACAACCTGTATTGTATATTGGGAAGTAGGTCATCTGTTCGCTTCCCAAGACCATGCACAGGAGCCTCTGTTCAAGAAGCCATATTTACACATTTATGAAATACAAGCAGGGCGTGAAGAGAGGAAACCAAGCTAAATTAAGAAAGAAAAACCTAATCCTATCACTCTTTCAGGCTGCTGCATTAAATTACCCTAGAAAATTTCTATCTACCATTTGCCTGCTATCACGGCACATGAGGCTAGGTTTAACCTTTCTCTGACAAGGAAGCTTACTGCCAAGAACTCCCTGCCCCAGCCCAAACCCTAGCATCCTCAGGGTCCCTAACCACACTTGCTGAGAACACGACATCTTCCCTTTGTCCCCATCATCCTCATCATTCCCCTCTGYGTTTGCTGGACCAAAATGCCTGCATGTGATGGTAAAACTGGCAAGATGAGCCTTCTGTCTTCTCTTCTCACCACACCCAAGCAAGGAGTCAGAGTCCCCCTTCATCCCTCGAACTTCTGCAAYATCACCAGCTCCAATAAGCAAGAGATGCTCCAATACGCCTGTGTTCCCAGACTGCAATGAACGGAAAAGAATCATGGCACATCTGGCTTACCTGATCCTCGGAGAGCTGTGATATGTGATTCACCGCAGCATAAGACTCTATCTTYGGGTTGAAGTGATTGATGATGGCTCTGAAACAAAGAAATTTTCACAGGTCTCAGCAACAGCTTACAGAGGCAGCAGAAATTCCTGGCCCACCGGAGCCAGCGCACACGGAGCCGTGGTTCTCCACCAAATACTTCCTCCCTTGGCTCAGCGCATTGCCAAATGCAGTCTCTGTGTGGAGGAGCCTGTGCCAAACCAGAAAACACAAGTGCAGGTGCTGTCCTAAGCGGGGCTGTGTCTGCACAGCAGAYACAGGGCTGGGCCAGGGCCACAAGGAGTTACAGTTGTGCTGGGAACAGGCGGCTCCGTGGGGCAGCAGAGAGGCTRTAAACTTGGAGATCCCAGTCAGATTCTAGTCAAAAAGTGCATCTTTTGATTCCCTCTAAAACCAGCAGTGCACTTGCCTTTGCCCTTAGGTGACTTTGTTGCCTGCTGCACAGAAGCTGATGGTTTATTCACGTTGATCTCCAATCTGGTTAGAAATTTTGTAGTCAGCTCTTACCTGCGGTGATCGATCATTTTAGTCACTACTACTTCCATAATGGCTTCAGGCCTCAGCTCCATTTAGGTCATTAAAGATAAAGCCTGAACTTGCACTGTGTCCCAAGCCCAGGAGTAGCAGCATCAGTCAGCCCTGCTTCTGTGCTGCATTTCTCTGACTGCACCAGGATACTTCCCTTCCCTCCTAGCAGGATTGAGACACACAGCTGGGAAACCCAAAAATGCGAACTAAAGTCAAAATAAATACATAAAAACACACCCAACACCTTCTGCTGAAATATTTCCTCAGTTTCAGGAATTCTTCATTTCAGATGTAATTGAGAAAACAAATGTCAAGACAGCAAAGTCTCCTCAGGTGAGATTTTGCTGTTGGCCTCCTTGGGACTCATGAGGCCGACTGCCGAGGCAGCGGTTCGTGATGGGAAGAGCCCGTCTCAGTGCTGGGCACAGAGCTGTGAGCTGTTGGGCGCCTGCAGCAGCCCACCTGGCCATGTTAACCGCAGCAGCAGCAGCCCGGGCTTTCACACTCATCATCTTCACACTGAAAATCCGCTCCCGCTCCCTCGGCTGCGCTCTAATGGGCTCCTGCCTCGCACACCTCTCCCTGCCAGGAGACCTTTCTGCTGCTTTCTCAGGACCTCGCTGCAGCTAAGAGAGGCCAAGTTCAGAAGCAAGTGCTGTTCAACTGTGCTGATCAGACCCGGTGGAAAGAGCAACCCCTGGAAGCCTCCTTAGCTCTTTAACTATGCAGATAAACAAAAGGGAGGGAAGGTGCCTCCACAAGAGAGAGAGGGAAGAGCAACAACGTCACAAGACCTGCCAGAATCTGCAGATTCACTGCTACCTTTCCAGCTGCACTTTGTCAACGTAGCAGGCTGGGGCCACACAGGGACTCCAGTGGTTACTCCCACAACAGCAGCACGTACTTAGCCTGCGGGTGGGCTCTGCAGGCTCGCCTGCCTTGACAGCAATGCAAATTCAGCCTCCAGCCTCCCCTACCCCTCCTGCCTCRGGCAGAGCACAAGGCAGCAGGTACAGACAAGCCCAGGCTCTTCCCGTGCCCATCTGACRGGAAAGCGGCTCCTGTGAGTCCCTACCACACTCCCCAGCGCTCCGGCTTGCAAGGGGYGTGTTTCATGCCCGACTGCAGTCGTATTTACACTCCTACAGGACCCGCTACCAGCTATTGCAAAGGCACCAACGGGAACACAGGCTTAGAACAACTTAACTTCTGGCTTGACAGAAGGCTTGGCAGCTCGGTGGGGTTCAGTGCTCTCGCATGCTCCCAACGTTTACCAGGGACCAGATTTAGCGCTCATTTGTATCCGTGGATGTGAAGCGCTTCGCATGGGCCGCCTGCTCACACATCCCTGCTCAGATGTGAGCCAGTGGAGCGGCACCTGCCACCACAGCTGGGAATCACCCAGGGAAAGCAACCAGCAGCCAGCTGCCACCACGGCAAGAGGCAAGAGGCTTTTAAGAGGAGAAACATTTCGCATCTTCTTCCTCCTTCTTCCCCTAAAGGCAAATGGGCAACTCCTCAGGGACTAGCGAAGGAGGTTCAACAGTTCAATTCATTTTAAAAGAGCGCTTTCCACTGCCAAGAGTCCTTTCCCAACCTGGTTTTCTGCAGAGCTGCTCTCCTGAAGCCGCAGGGAGCCTGGGGAAGAGGGGCACGAAAAGCCTGGATTGCTGCGAGCTCTGCCCAGTCCAGCACGTCACGCGGCACGGCTGCTTCCCACACATCCGCRGCACCAAATCCCCCCACCAGCCGGCCTAGGCTGCCGAGCAGCAGCAGAGCCCTCCTGCACAGCCCACTCTGTCACGCCTTGGCTGTTGCTCCCTCTTTGGAAAGCCAGGCTGTCCCTGGGGTGTGTTTTGAGGCAACTGAGTAACAGCTGGAATTTCACTTTGCAAAGCTGCCTCTCCACRGGCAGCTCTTGCTAGAGACAACGGGGGACAGTATCTTGTAAGCACAGTCTCCCCGTTATGGGCAATAGAACAGCAGCTCTGCCACCATTAGTTCACGACACTGGCRTGCCACAGCTGAGCCTTGGCAAGGGGTTATTTTTACACTGTGATTGCCTTTATTACTGGGATATCAGCCAGCACACAGYACCTTTGGGGAGGAGGGAAGCAATGGTTAGAGCTCTTGCAAAAGATTTCTTTTCTGCTGTGCTCCGAGATCTTTGCATCATAAAAATATAAAATAAAAAAGACCTCCCTTGTGTTTGGTGTTCATGAAGCACTGGCATCTTCCTCAGCATATCTGATGAGCAAAGAAGTGGTGAAGTATCWACCAAAACCTTTTGGTTCCCCACCCTGCCTTTGACAACGAGCACACTTACACATCTCCTCTCTGCAGTGTCTCTTGGTGGGACCAGCTGCTATTTACCATACAAACATCAGTGTATTCTTGGGACACAGCTTTCTAGGGACCAGAAARCTCAGCAGAGCTGGAGAGCTCTCTCTTCTTTAACCACACTGTGTCCTCTGACAGATGTACATACAATTCAGCAGCCAAATGGCAAGAGAGAAGGCTGTGGCTGGACAAGGGAAGGGAGCTTAACAGCAGAAGGTGACACAGAGGTCCAGGAATTACAATAAATAAATAAATAWATAWATATATATATATCTCCCAGGGGCTTGTCTTGTGGTTGATATTTAATCCTCCAAGGAAGACTACAAGTGTTCTTCACAATCTCTCTCCCAGTCTCCCAGGGAAAACCATTTACACACTGGTAAATTTTCAGAGAACGCATCCGTGCTCCCGAAAAAGGAGACATTTGCTCCCAACTTCATGGTGTGACTCTTCAGAGAGCAGGCTGCCTTGGTGCTGGGCTGCCAGAGGGCATGCACACATTCATAGGAGTGGGTATTTCCTTCAGAATGAGCAGCCTAAGACACTCGGCATTAAAGTATTTATTTTGGGGGGGCAGAAGAGAGCAATTGAAGAAAAAATATAGAATGTTCTTCCCTGATTTAGGAGCCTTAACACCAACAAATGGCAAGTTTGTACCAGCAATATTGACCCTGTTATTAGACCAGGGAAAGCAGGGCCCACTGCAGGTAGGTGCAGACTATAAGGTAATTCCCCAAAAACTCCGTCTGGTGGAAGGTTCCTAAGTTGGGCTGCTCTGGAGGCTGCTACAACTGGTCTCTCCCACTAGAAGTTTCTCCCTCAAAATTGTATGGGCTGGAAGGGGAGGTATGGAGGTGCTGCTCTATTTTCTTCAAAAGAGTGACATCCTCTGCTCCAAACCCTCACAAATAGGGTGTGAGAAGGAGCCTGTCCAGTCAAGCAGCATCCTGCTCTCCAGTACCTTCCCTGCCAGCAGAGTGCACTTCCACAGAGGCTGCAGTAACTTTCCAGAAAGTAGAAAATATTTTAGAAATTGCTTCCACAACCTCATTCAGAACTGTCTGGTGCTACCCCTTGACAAATTAAGAAGTAATGAGCGCTGCCCTTTTGGATAAAAAAAAGAGTTTCTGCAGATGCCTAGGGTGCAGACAGGAAAGGGCTCCTGTGAAAACAGCTACAGCTGGTGGAGATAAATGACCCGATYGATTCCTCAATTTGATCTGCCACTACTTGCAATAACACACGTGAGAAGTGAAGCGCAGCAGCAACACCAAGCTACCCATCTTCAACTCCAAGCACCTTCCACCCCGTGGGTACTTGCTCTGCAGTTGCAAAAAGCACAGCCCTACCTGCCTTAATCATGCAAGAAGCTGGTCAGGGTCCACTATGAAATGGAGGCAAAATTGCTGTGCTCAGGCAGGCAGCACTTGAGCACGGTGGCTTTGATCTCCACCTCGCCCCATCAAACTATTGCAGATGAGCTAATAGTCACCCCTGCTTGGCACATACATTCCTGGAGTCCCATAAGGCAACGCTGCCCACTTGTCCTGAGTGAAATTAAGCACTTTCTAAGTGCTGAAAATAGGCTAAGGAAGAACAGAAAGGTTGCAGAGCTTATAACGGAGATGGGAATGCTGAGGTATCATTCCCTCCAGGAACCTGGTCTTTGTCCCTACAGTGCGGGTGCAGCACGCAGTGTCCGGTGCAAAGCTTTCTTGTGCACATCTAAACATTTCTTGCTCAGCAAAAGCTGCCCCACAAGCTCACATCTTGCAAAGGGAGACCTAAAATGCAGTGCTAACTGTTCAGGTACAGGAACCAAGAAAGCCACTAGCTTGTGTCCCACCTGTCACCTGCAAGCCAAGCAGCTCCATCTTCCCTTCACATGCCCCTGTTTCCCCCTTTGTACAATGGGAATAATAACGAACACCTCCACAAAGTATTTTAAACCAAGGTGAAATGGGCTCAGAAGGTTTTATTGCTACGTTGCACATTGCCCAAGTTACACCTATCCTCCTCTCCACGTCACCACCAGGTAGGAGAGCCGTGCAGAATCCCAGCCACAAGCCTTGCTCCCTGCAGCAAGMGGGCTCTCAGCAAGCTCACAACTTGGTTTTAGGGGAGCAAAGATCCTGTCTGCAATAATCCTTGCTCTTCAACACT